ATATATATATATATATATATATATATATATATATATATATATATATAATAAGTAGATAGGTACAGAAAGGAGAGAGAAAATTATACCTTGTAGTCGACGTTACACATATCTTTAAACTTGTTCGTTTGTGAGCGTGATGCGCAACACGGGTTCCAGCGACGCGCGTTGATCTTATTTAAGACGATGATATCGCTCTGTAACGCGACGATTCGACGCCAAGCGTCGCTGATCAGACCGCGATCGTTTGCGCCCAGTCGTCACGGTGGCGGACGACGCATGTAGACCCGTGAATAACGCGCTGGTAATCCCTGGCCCAAAGTCAGTCTACATATCAGACTCTAGTTAGCACCAGGTCCCTTTTCAACTTTGGACATCTTCACCTCGAGTACGAATCTCTGGCGTGTTGGACGATTCACGATCCTACCGTCTCTAGATGTCTCGGACGGAGATCGTGGATCGCTGAACATCGATCTCTGAGTCCTTTGATAACTCCTCTTTCGCCTCAGTCACGGAAGCTGCGCTCATTTTGTCCCAGGCGATTTCGGGTAGACGTTTCACAAAGACCTCCCGAAGTCGCCCGACCCGTGGCCCTAGGAACTCTCCATCCTTTTTGGAACGAATACAGCGATCTGATTAGACTTTTGAAAATTCTTTCAAAGCTTGAGCGTCAACACTCTATGAAATCGTTATGTTCGTTCCACCCAGTATGCATCCTCTTCGGACCCAAAGTACTCGTACCGCCAGTTACCACTACTAACAATATTATTCGCCGCTACCAACTGTAATCACCGTCGATACCGCTACCGCATCGCCCCGTTATCTGACAAATTGTACACCGAAGCTACGTCGTAAACGGAAATATCGAGAGGCCAGACTCTTTCGAAGGGACATCACTTCATTTTTTTTTTATTTAATTTTTTTGTGTTCTCTTTTTGTCGGAGTAGCATGTCACGGAACTCGATCACAGCTGCGTGCTTCTCTCCTCACTCGCCTTCTTCTCTTGGTCCTCATCATCGCAGCGGCGCTCCTCTCGATCACGTGTGCTGAGAGAAAATTGTGACATGCTCGCGAGTTACTCGAATCGTTACGAAAAGCAATACGATACGGGAAAGGCTCTATTGGCCGCTCAAGATCACCCAGCAGGTTACTCCCACCTCGCTCGTGTACTTCCACTACTCCGCCAGGGAGAATGGCTCTGAATGGAACTCGGATTATGTGATCAGAATTTTTGGAAAATGTTCTTTAATTATTGATCGGCGTTTCGTATTAAGTAAACTAGCGAGTATATATGCAATGACCAAGCAGTATTATTATGAAAATGCAACTTAGAGGGTGAAAAGACAAATTTCTCTTATAGCGCGAACATCAGGGGCATTCTTCATCTCGCGGTTCATTTCAGTTTTTTCGCGTTAATCTGCAGGAATCTTGATAAAAGGAGGGGACTCGTTAATGATCTTGAGCTGCCAATTGAGTTCGATCTGACTGTAGTATACGATACATTCGTTTGAGGAAGAAAACAGTTGCTTCGAAGGGCTAAGTAACACGAACGGTGGCTCTCGATTAAGAATCTCGAAGCGTGTATTATACTATTTGCCTCTTCAAAACAACCTATTTCTATCTTCAAATATTCTCCCGCGTCGTTGACATATATTTTAGGCCCTAAATTAGGCGACCGTTACCGTAACGTATCAAACAAAGGAAAATATGTTTCGTCGAGGTATTTTATTAACATTTTACATTACTCGTGCGATCGAAAACGGAGAATATTATATTTTCGATAATTCAGTTCTACGATTATGCTATCGTAGACGACGGCCATTGTTGAGGGCCACGGAGATAGGGTTCGTGGACAGCCTGTTTAATGAAGTTAAGGAAAACTATTTTTTCTTTCCTTTGCACGTGTTAGTATAGAAAATATATTTCATAAGAAGTTTACGCGTCGATTAAATCAATTCAATTCGAAAGGAAATCCCGGAATTTCGATCCACAAATTCGATCGACCTTTTTATTATTTATCTGCGCCGTAATTTGTCGATTTCTCTCAGCGCGCAGTCAACATTTCAGTACCCGTTCATCGTCGAAACCTCTCCGAATTCGAAACGCCACTCGCGAATGTCTTATTGTGATAATCGAAGCGTCGATTGAAATATCGATCCGTTGCGAACGAAAGACGAAGAATCTTAAGCATTTACGATCGTTGGTCAGCGTTATTGGTACGACTGTCGATGTGTGTTTTCATCTCGCGAAACGAACGCTAAGGGCAACGTTTTCTCACGCCAATCTGTTTGTTATGTATTCGTATCGTCGTATACTTTTTACGTAAATCGATAAGTTGTTGATTAGTTGCTATACGCGGAAGGACGAACAATCATCCTGCGGTTTTAATTTAAAAAAAGGCGCACGGTGATTATCGTCCTCCCATTTTGTTTTTTCTTTCTTTTTTTATAATAAGCTTTTATTGCTCAAAAATTCCCTCTCCGCCACTACGGAGAATGTTTTCCATTTTTGCCAACCGTTCGCGAAACCGTTGTCGATTTTTCTCTGTTTAAACCACTCGTGGTTGTATACTTCGTTTTGCGTCGGCGAACGTTTCGTTCGATTCCCCCAAAAGGGAGACACTAACCGTGTTTTTATGCAAGGTTTCCCCGCGCAAAGAGCATTGGTCGCAAAAGTATGCCACTTGATATTCATAATTGTTAATACTTTAGCTTACCGATCTTTCGTCATTGGTTGTAGAGAAATTTTGGACAGGCGAGAAACTTGTTTCGTATTAGTCGTGTGAGTCAAGTTTTTCTAAATATTACGTCACCTCCTCATTATACGAGTTCAAACAAAGCATAAATGATATGGAAGAGAAAGTGGCGCCAATAATTTTCTAAACGTGGAAACCCTGTATAACGGTGAAAATATCCAGTTACTGTTCGCGCGCGAGAAGAATCCATCCCGATGATTTACGTCGCTACATGCATTCTTCCAGCTCGCGAACAGTAGAACGAGCTCTTTTCATTGCACCTGCACGCGCGAAAGCGATCGAGAGTCGACAATTGCGACTCTCCGTTTGCGTTTACACCGTTCCCACCTTCATGCTCGGTTGATGTCGGATATTCAGCGATTGTACGTGTATGTAAAATGTGCACACATCCTCAAACGCGCATGCATACACACAGAAACACACAAACACACAGACGCGCGCATTGTAATTTATCGTCAATGTTACTCGAGTGTCCGTCAAGGCTATCCAAACGATAACTGTTCGTTCCGACAGCTATACTTGCGAAATATATAATACACGTATTATAACGTATACATATAATATGTATATTATGTATCGTACAGAGGGATACATAGCCCGCACGAGTTATCGACGACCAAAAAGTGCCGAAAACATTGGCGAGAAATATCGTAATAACTGGGAGGGGGGACGGGGGGGGGGGGATTTAACGAGAAATTATCGTTTGCAACGGTGGAGTCCAAGTCAAGCTCCGGAGCTTGGGCACCTTCCCCCACTCCGTCTCCTAGCGCGCGCGATCTACGACTGCGCAGACGTCCCGCTCAACTACGGCGCAGCTCAGCTGCGGCAGCTGTCTCAGTCGACTGCGGTCCGTCGATGGGGAATGATCTTTGCGACGGGGCTCCACTGGTTTACACGAATTACGTCGTACACGCACGATCGAGATGACGGCGTAACGCAGAGACACAGAGGTATTACACACGTATTTGGGACGGTACTCTCATGCACGCGTACACACGCATATGTATATATATGCGTATATATATATATATACACATATATGCATATGTATGTATACAATAACAAAAGAACACAAAAGTTTTATTCGCATCATTACAGCAGCAGCTGCACCTCTTTTTTGATTCTCACACGCACCCCCACACTGATCTTCGAATTGAACATTCTTTTTTAGCGGTCAGAGAGAGGGATCCGCGAATTTACCAACCACTCGAATAGAGATTTAATGTTTGTAAGGGCAATAACGATTGTAAATTCTTCAAGTACACTGTATTTGAATGTATAAGTTGCATAAAAAAGACAGATTTTTTAGATATTGCACTATAATATTTATTATTCTAAGGTTAACGAGACAGGGTCGCGATTCGCCGCGCTCGCGATACCTCGCCCGCGCTCTCATCCTTTATTGGCCTCGATCGCGCTCGATTCCCGACTTAATCCTCGGGATCGACAGCGAACGAGATTTCGTATTCGATCGACCCCCCCCCACGAAACCCCGCGGTGTAATTTCATTTTCCATCCTCGTCGAAGTACCCGAGCGAGTTTACCACTTCACCTGAACGAGGGAAATACATTTATTAGCGATCGAAAACGCCGAGTCGCAAGCGCGGCCGCTTCGCGGCGATCATGAATTAATATTAATTAATAAAGAGGCAAAGCGAATGCATTGTTCTTTCCAATAAAAGAAGAAGCAAGATTTTTAGTGTTTACACTACAATTGATAAACGATTCTATTATTACATAATATTATATTAATAACAATATTATTACTGTAATGTTTGTTTTTGGTTATTAAAGTGTGTATATAGCAATATATTCTAGAAATGGTCTCCACTGTTGAATCTCTTGCTCGCCAATTTCCCAATCGACGTATTCGTCAGACATAGCCATCGTATAGATCACGACCGATCTATCAGTATGATCTATAGTGCAATTTATTTACATGCTTGTCATGCATTAAAAAAATCGTGATCTCTGGTCTAAATACAATATCGATAAATCTATTAGTTAATTGACAGATTAATGTTTTGTATCTTCAATTTGACGCTTGGAATTTTTATTTATATAAAGATTTTTGAAGATACAGTCTGCGCTTCAAGTAGATTCAAATGCGAGATTCGAGTTGGGTTCACGTGGAATTCACCAGATGACGCTGCATTCGAACGAACGCCTATAAGTAAACAAGTATATAGGTGACAGTTCGACACGTGCTATTAGTTTTCTTGAATAAATTTGTATTCAATATGTCGTCAAACGAAATGGAAGTAGACGATGAAACTGAGACGAAGCCAAAACATTTCCACGAGTTAGAATTAGACGATAGAATACTAAAGGTAAAAAGTTAAATGTATCTCTCTTTGTATAGAGGTTATATTATCGAACCTAACCTCTCAATTACAAATTCAGTATTTACTATTTACGTTTGTAACACGATTTTGTTTATGCAAAATTTTAGGCCATTGCAAAATTAGGTTGGCTAGAACCTACATTGATACAAGAGAAAGCAATACCATTATTGATGGAAGGAAAAGATATTTTGATTCGAGCACGCACGGGATCTGGTAAAACAGCGGCATTTGCTATACCGCTTATTCAGAAGATTCTGTCGAACAAACGAATGCAAAAGAAACAGGAAACTAAAGGTCTGATCGTTGCTCCGAGCAAAGAATTATGTAAACAAATACATGATGTGGTAGTTAGCTTAACAATAAAATGCAGCAGAGAAGTAAAAGTGGTCGATATCAGTGCACAAGTAGATTTGATTGCACAGAAACCATTGTTAGCAGAGAAACCTGATATTGTTGTTGGCACTCCAGGCAGATTATTGCAGCATTTAAAAGCTGGCAACATGAAGTTGAAACGTTCTCTAGAAACATTGATAATTGACGAGGCTGACTTGGTATGTAATTTTAATTTGATGTAATAACTTTTATGGATAATATCAATTTTATATTTCAGATATTTTCATTTGGATACGAGGATGAAATAAAAGATGTGTTGCAATACTTACCCAATGTATACCAAGCAGCTTTAGCTTCTGCAACCCTGTCTGAAGATGTTGTAACTCTTAAAAAATTGGTGCTTCATAATCCAGCAATATTAAAGCTAGAGGAACCTCCATTAGCTCCACTGTCTCAGTTAACTCACTACAGTCTTGCTGCAGAAGAAAACGATAAAGCTGCTATTCTATATGCTTTACTCAAATTGACTTTAATTAGGTATAAAAATGAAAGTGTAAATTATACAAAAAACAAAGTACTAATGTAATCATTTTTCTCTTGGCAGGGGAAAGACTATCATTTTTGTAAATACAGTAGATAGATGTTATAAATTAAAGTTGTTTTTAGAACAGTTCGGTATACCTACCTGTGTTTTAAATTCTGAATTACCAGCAGTTTCGAGATGCAGAGCGGTCACTCAATTCAACTCCGGAACGTACGACATTATAATAGCATCCGATGAAAAATCTTTGGAAGAAGTAAATATCTATCGATTATTTATGAACTACTTATAATTTATAAAATTGTAATTTTCATTATTCGCAACAGCCTCATGTAGTGAAAGTTAAAAAAGGAAAACGAAAGAAAGATAAAGAATCTGGTGTAGCACGCGGCATAGATTTTCAATTTGTGTCCAATGTGATCAATTTTGACTTTCCACTGGATGTAAACTCGTATATTCATAGAGTTGGACGTACCGCACGAGGCAAGAACCAGGGGACAGCATTGAGTTTTATAGCGATAAAAGAAAGACCTCTTCTTGATAACGTTGAGGAACAATTAAAACATTGTTACAATAGCGATAAATTGTTCAAGACATACCAATTCAAATTAGAAGAAGTTGAAGGTTTTCGGTACGTAAAATTTCATGTTCAAATTTGAAGTTGATTCTAACGGTTCCTTTATTTTTAGGTATCGAGCAAAAGATGCTTGGAAAGCAGTAACAAGAATAGCCGTTCGCGAAGCACGCTTGAAAGAAATAAAACAAGAGGTATTGACTTGTGCGAAATTGAAAAGCTATTTTGAAGACAATCCAAGAGATTTACAATCGTTGAGGCAAGACAAAGCACTGCATACTGTAAAATTACAACCACACCTGAAAGATGTGCCCGAGTACATAGTCCCACCCACTTTGAAAAGACTCGTAGGTATGGGTAAAAGAAAAAGAAAATTTGACAGAGAGGCCGCAGGATCCAGATCTACCGCTACGCAGTCGAAATACCAAGCACGCGCATCGAATCCTCTAGTTAGTTTACAAATACGTAAATAAAAAAATTTTACGCTAATGTACCTTGTATAATATGTTACGAATAAAATAATGTAAAAGGTAATTACAAATTAGGATTAACTTTCGAATTAGAAAGGGAGGAAATGGTTTATAGGATTATGAAAATAAAAATAAACCTTTTGTTTAATCTAATAGGAACAATATATTTACCCAATAGATACGAAATATAAAATGAAAAGTTCATTAAGTGGATTAAGAAATAAAAAGTTAGTCAATACGTATTTGGTGTTGTACAAAAATTTATAATATAATTAGCTAATATGTGCTGAGTGTCTATATACATATATACCAACATATTTTCTTTAACTTTGTTTATTTTTTGCCTCTGTTCAGTATAAATAACATTCTATTAAAATGTGTATCTTTGCAAGTCCTCATACATTCAGATTGTACAAAATTGTAGATGAAAAATTACATACTATGCAATTATTCTTTAACATGTAATATCAGAATATCGTATTGTAACCTACGATTTTTCTGTACTTCTGTTTGGCTTGTATTTTTTCCTAATACCATCGTTAAAACCTTCTCTATTTCTGGCAAGTTCAATGGCATAAAATTGTATTCTAGTTGTGAGTATACTGTTTTCTTCAGAGTAATCACCGTCGCAATCTGCTCTCAACAATGTACCGAAACTATAGTCCTCTACAAGCCCCTTGAATTGCTCGCAAAATGGTCTCCACTTAATTTTTCCCTCTGGCGATTTTAATTCGTCCTCATTTATTTTATTCACTTTTAGATCAGGGAATACATCTCGAAAGGTTTTATATATTTGTTCATCGTGAGGAGTAAGTTTTAAAAACTTAGGATCGACAGAACATAAAATCTATAATGAAAAGGTATTCAATGTTTAAATCTTTATCTGTTGTCAAATGTAAACAAGTAATTTAAAATTATTTTTACATTAAAATAAACTTCTGCGTGCTCCATTGCTTTCATTGCCCACATAGCTTCTACGGAAGGCTAAAAAAACATGCAGACATATTGTAGTTACTTATGCGAATTCGATTGTCCAATTTTTTCTTTAATTATAACTTACATCATTGTCAAATTCTTCTGCAGGTCTGGACAACACATCGGATCCAGCTAACAGTTGATCTGCGGTCTTAAAATAGCGACAAATTATTCCCAATCGATGAACAGCTCACGATTATAATAAAAAATAAAAATAACAGTACATTCTTAAAAATAGATAAACACAGTTTGATAATAACTTCGCAATAGAACCATGTTTCAGATAGCTACCAAGGTAAACTCCGTATAAAGTAAAACATTGTTTCGAGCAAGTTGTTTCATCGTGATTTCAGTGAAATTTGAGATAAACAATGAAACGAAACGTACACGGTAGGTTAAGAGTTACTCTCACGCGAAAAAATTGGTGAAATTAATAGAAGTTCATCGTACTCACAACATCCCCAATAAATGCCATTTCTCTACTAGCTAAAAACAAATTGTTATCGTTGAATTATCAAATAAATTCAGCGATGTTTATAAGAACGTTATACGTTGGAAATCGAGAATCGAACGTGTAATATGGACAATATGGTGTGGTAGTACTACAGTAGTACACATGTCACGCAGTCGAAACACACGTGCAGCGCAACAGAGGAAAGCTCGCTGAACCAATCATTGTTCCGTTTTCATAGCAGCTGTGTTTTGTTACTACCAATCTCAATGTTATCGATAGAATAAATTACTCGATCTCTTTCGTATCAATTTTTTTAAAGGGATAACGAGATTTCGAGAGGACCGAGTCTGTGATAAATTTGAACAAAAAAAAAATGGTTAGTACAAAAGACGAGGACACCAACGAGAGAGTAATAAAATTAATAAACGACATTCATTATGGGTAAGAATATATTTATTAGGTTCGTCTAACCTAAAAATGGAAACAACTTATTATATTTTGTGATTTTAGTGATATTAAAGGTACGGACAATATCGTGGTGGCCACTATGTCGGTTTTGAAAGAAATTATAAACAACACGGAATGGACCACTGCTGAGTATGAATTAAATTGTTTTTAATATGCCTGTATATGAATGGTAATCCTGAGAAACACTGAATGAGGATATATCAATTTTTGTCGCGAATATATCATTTCTTTGCTTTGCTTCATTCGTGTTTTCTTAGGTCTATGCGAAGAGTTAATTGTTTTAATTGACTACATTTATTTTCAAAGGAACCTCATGGGTGTGATAACTCGAAATGGAAAGTGTTTAATAGAAGCTATTCCTCTTGAATTCTCTATTGGAAACATGGTACGAAGGATATTGAAAATAATCCGGGAGGAATACACTTCTGAACTACAAAATAAAACGGATGAAACGGATCCACAGGAATCGTTACATAAAATTCTGACTGCCGAAGGCGATCAGCAAATTGATTTTAACATTGTTGTACCTTCATTGAAATCAGCTCTTATAGAACACATTAACGAATTTGAAGTTGAATTGGAGACTTGGTCAGTTGTATTAACTAACAGATGTATAAATGCTTGTATTGCATAATGTATTTCTTTTGTTGCATGTATGTATCTTTTTAGTGCAGAAAATATTACGCAACAAGCTTCTGAACACATCCATTCTAATGAAATTATCATGACATTCGGTAAATCAAAATTGGTAGAAGAATTTTTCAAAAGGGCTGCTGCAACAAGAGCATTTGAAGTTATAGTAGTGGAAGGTGGACCATCTTTAAGTGTGCGTATAGATTATATGAAAATATTCGTTACGAATGTAATTAAATGAGTCTTTACTGTTTACAGGGTCATGAAATGGCAGTTAATCTTGCGAAAGCTAAAATTAAAACTACTTTAATATCGGATGTAGCAATTTTCGCGATGATGTCGCGTGTAAACAAAGTAATAATCGGTACACATACCGTTATGGCGAATGGAGGATTAAGAGCGATCTCAGGTGTACATACAGTTGCTCAAGCTGCAAAACATTATTCTGTCCCAGTAATGGTTCTGTTGCCACTTTACAAACTTTCTCCCCTTTATCTATGTTCACACGAACAGGATGGTTTTAATAAACATGTTTCACCAATGCAAGGTGTGATTCGCAGCGCGAATGGGCCATTGTTGGAAAGGATTCATGCATATAATCCAGTTTTTGATTATGTACCACCAGAATTGGTTACATTATTTATAACGAATACGTAAGTTTAACGAAATCCACAAGTTTTATTTATTTTATTATTTAATACTGTACATTAACAAGATAATTTATTTTTATTTCAGGGGAGGAAACGCGCCGTCGTATGTTTATAGATTACTTAGCGAATTGTATCATCCGGATGACTACGATTTGTAAAGAACGAACATATTTATATTTGTATATGTACAGTATAACTCTCTTAAATAATTAACATCTATCCTTTTTATACGATTCTCTTTTTCTAAAAAGGGTATTACTATACAGAAAAGAATTTTTTAATTTTCGAGAAATATTTATTTACACATTAAAGTATGTACAAGTAGATAAATTCATTTTACAAAACACATTTTAATAATCTTGTGGGCTCAAAATTACTGAATGTAAATATAAAAAAAGTAACATATGCTGTTTATATATTGTGGAGATTTATATTTAATTAGTGTTTGGCATCCTACACATAAGGATTCCAATTGCTACCATCTTCAGGTTGTAGAGAATCTGTTACCAGCAAAATTACATCTACTACCCACCAACCTCCCAATCCACCCAATGTTAACAGTTTGCCTACGGCAGTACCAGTTTGTCCTAAACAAAACCGATCCATACCTAGGAAACCTAATAGTATACTATATAGTAAAGTAGTAGCAAAATAATGATCGCTGTATTTTATGCAAGGAACTCCTTTACGATCAAATGTCCTCGGCCCAAAGCACTCGATATCCGGTAACACTGTGCAAGAAACTTTAGTCTTTTCAACTTTGTCATACCAGGAACCTCCAAACTAAACATAAAATGAAATGTTATGTATTCAATTCACAGTTTAACATATTTCATTTAAAGTAAGTCCTCAATTTATACAAATAGCAGTTATAAACTTCTTTACGAAGAGAAAAACTTCGTATATACCTCATAACCTATAAACCATATATGTATGAATTTGCATAGTTCAAGAACTTGCTGTCTATGTTTACAAATGCGATCATACCTTTACGCAACCATATCCAGTTTCGTCTTTGGCAGTCTTGTTACCTTTGTAATCAATTGGCTCTTCGCATTCTATGAATTCTTTCGGGCTACAATACGAATATTCGCATGAAGGGTAAACAAGTGTGCGAAACGAAATGTCAAACAGCTGATTCAACTACTTACAGAAACTTGCACAGTACCAAAGGACCCTCAGGTCTATACTCTTGTTGAAAATCCGTAGTTTTATTTGTTGTTGCGACGCATAAAGCCGTACGTAAATCCCACAAAAAATAGAAGACAATCAAGACCAACGATTGTAACCTCATCTTGATGAAATCGACATATTTAAACATAGGTGTGTTCGTTTGTAAGAGCCATCTCATTGGCTGCACAATGCAGCAAAATGTCGTGACAGCCTTAGAATTATTAAGCGTTTCATTATGCGAATATTAGAAGACTTCAGGGATTCTATAATTTTTTAAACCAAAGCGTACAAGTTAAGTTATTGTATGTTACATCTGACTCTATTGCAAGACGAGTATCTCCCATTCACCGGTTTCCGACAAAAACCTTATCCTTCATGCGCCTACAAGATGGCAACCGAATCGACAAACCGGGTAGCATAAGTTGCCGCATCAAAGGGGCACCTCAGCGCCTACCAAATGATGACCGGCCTCACAAGCAGGCTAGTACTGGTTGCCATATTAAAGGGGCAGCTCTGCGCCTACGAGACGATAACAGGGCTGACAAGCAGGGTAGTATCGGTTGCTACACACCAGGGGCACCTCTGCGCCAAAGATATAGCAACCGGGCCTACAAACTGGCTAACTTCGGTTGACATCTAACAGGGGCAAACACGCGCCTATCTGATGACAACTAATATTTCGTTCGCTTATCTTTCAGGCCACATAAGTTATCGATGACTGTCATTAACTTATTGGATAACTAACACCTCCTAACACATTCTAACATATTTTAAGATCTCCTAATAACTCCTGAAGAATGACATAATATACAGCATCGTGGAAAATTTCCCTTCAATTTCCCTTCATTTCCTGGCACAATTCCCTTTAATTTTCCTCCATTTCCTGGTATATTTCCTTTTAATTTCCATCCATTTTCTGGTATATTTCTGAGATATTTCTCTTTAATTTCCTCCATATCTTTTAACAATGTTGCAAATGGCGCCGCTCAAAAATTCAACAAAGTTGCAACGCTCAAGAGTACAACAAAGTGGCAACTCGGAAGTTCGGCAAAATGTGACAAAATCCGAAAAATCGCCTCCGATTTGCAACAATGTTGAAGGCCCGAGCGGAACAATTTGCATTATTTTCGAACGTGCAACATTGTTGCGGTTTTGAGCAGATCCATTTGCAACATTGTTGAGGTTTTGAGCGGATCCATTTGCAACATTGTTGAGGTTTTGAGCGGATCCATTTGCAACATTGTTGAGGTCTTGAGCGGAGCCATTTGCAACATT